ATATATAAAAATTTGTTTTGTTTTGCCTGATTTGTCAGTACTGGTTTCTCTCTTTTCAATATTGACATGAGGGATCTCATTTTTGGTTCCCTTTGAAATGCTCCCTTGAAGTGCTGCTATGCATACTTGCATGTGTGTCTACAGGAAGTTTTTGAGGGGAATTGGGAGCAGCAAATGCTTCCAGATCCACCTGCTCCCACAGCCCACGGACAGCCTGTCTAGCCAACTGACAGGGACTGCTCTGTCTAAGGATGCGCTATCCAGACACCCATGGCACACTGACTTACAGCATGTACTTTCCCAAGTGTAACAGAGGGTAACAGTTTGCTATACTGGCGCCGTGGAGCCAGATGTGCTATCTGGCTGGACTGTGTATCTGGTCCCAAGAGCAGCCTTAGGGCTAAGATAGGTCTTATAGGACTTCAGTGTGTGGTCTGGGTTAAGCGTGTGGGAGACAGGTAGAATAAGTGTAGCCCTGATGCTAAAAGGCACTGAAGTATGTTAGCTCCAAACGCGCACCATCGTTTCCTCAAACTAAACAGCAGTTATTTCTACCTGCATGCAGTAAATCTGTACATAGATCCTCCACTGATCAAAATCAACTTTTAAATGGAGTTTCTGGAGTTACACCAAGCCAGATGCTCAGGGTTGGTTATGCTCACCCCAAGCACACTGAAATGCATTCTGTGTATTCTAACCTGCATTAAGTATATGTCCATTTGAGTGCTTGAATACTGCTGATTAGTTTCACAGTAAGAGAACACTGAATGCTTGTTATTTTAATTGAATTCCGTAATTGCCAGCAAGTGTGGGGGTATGTGGAGAAGTAATTTTTCTAGATCTAGTTCTAATGAGTTTGTACACCTCCTCCATTTAATTTTAGCAAACTTACTTCTTTAATTATCACTTTATTTTTAACCTCAAATAATTTCTTCTGAAAAGTTGTTCTTCTAAGTCCAAACAATTGTACTTTCTTTGGTGTGAATTCTTTCCTTAATGCTTTCCTTAATGCAATGAAGACAAATGCTTCACACCATAAGCCACATCAAGACTCTTGATTCAAAAATACATCACTGAAATCAAGAGTTTTATGGCAGTTGTAATGTCACTGTTTCTAAACAAAGATAAGACAGTTTTAAAAATACAAGGCACAGGGTTACAAGTTTAACTGCTCAGATACCACTGTTGTGGAAGGGGCCCTATGTCGTTCTGGAATTGCAGCAGCAGTGGACCTTGCCTTTGTCCAGACACGTGAGCTAGTATTTCCTCTTTCCTCTCCCAAAAAGATAATATGCTAGATTTTTTTTTTCTCCCTGCCTTTTTTATATTGTATACCAGAAGAAAGCATGCAACCTTTTGGGGATGCTTGGCATGGAAGAAACTTTCTGTTGACTTGCATGAAGCCCATGGAGAGGGCCAATGCCGAGTCAGAACTTCTGGGTGCCAGCAGCCTCTTCAGCTTCAGAATGGCTTTAATCCTAAAGCTGAATGGAGACTTGTATTTGACCAGTGAGTTTAACTCATGGTGGTTTAATTCCGAGCAATGATTGATCCCCTGGCCAAGTCCCTCCAGTTTATATACTGAGCGTGACATCGTATGGTATGGAATATCTCTTTGGCTAGTTTGGGTCAAGTGCCCTGGCCATGAACCCTCCCAGCTTATTGTGCACCTCCTTGCTTGCATAGCATGGGAAACTGAAAGTCCTTAGGATAAGCACTACTTAGCAACATCAGTGTGTCATTAACATTATTCTCATACTAAATGTAAAACATAGCACTGTACCAGCTACTAGGAAGAAAATTAACTCTATGCCAGCCAAAATCATGACACTTGTAACAGTTTTCCATATGTAGAGTGTGATATTGCCACAAGCCTCATTAGCCTGGATAGCCTAGCATTTTAGCCTTTTTCTTTCTGCTTTGCTTGAACTAAGGCATCTTTCTGTAACTGAAACGTACAGAGCCCAGAAAGAACATTATTATTAAACATATTAATCTAAATTTTCAGGCTTTGTCAGCCGTTACTATTTCATGGTACTTACTGCTAATATGAAATGGTAGAAACAAAAAGCAGATACTATATAGGCAGGCAAAGTTGGGCAGCAGACCTTTGAGTTGAGCTCAACTTTTATTGTTGACTGGTTTTAGACTGCTCCCTCCACTTCACACTGTGTTTTACTGGGGACAGCTTGGAGTTAGGCTGCATCCTGCTGAGCTTTCACTAACCGATGATGTGTATCATATGTGGATATTTTATTGAACAAAATATTTAAAAAATTAAGTGTTGGCAGCTGTTGCTAGGGTGGCATGCTGGAGAGCCCAGATACTGGCTGGTTTTACAGACTGATCTGTTACTATATTTGCTTTTTGAATTTTCCTTTCTTTCCTTTTGAGTATCTGTTGAATATACTCATTATATTCTGGCTGGTATGAAACAAATGCTAGTTAAGAATGGGGACTCTTGAGACAAGAGAGCAAATTCAGTTCCCTGAAGGCAATTTCCACCTCTTACAATGTCCCACTGCTGCCTCCAGTTCAATGTAACAGGAAAACAAGTATCTCCAACTCCCATGTTTAGTTTCTTGTTTCTCTGAGTGATTTTTCCCTATACTTCACAGATTAGGGTCTTTGTTTATGCATGATTTCGTAGCTTCAGATACCTATTTCTGTTCATGTCATGGAAGCCATTAATTGGCTGGAGTTACACTTAATCTTGCTTGATAACTTTTGGTGGGGGGGGTGGGAAATTGGAACACAAAATTAAAGTGTTTGTAATTCAACATAGGACCTTTAGACAGTTGAGAGATCTTGGCAAACACTGACAAACTTGGCAAACACCCAGTGGGCACTGGGTACGAATAGGCCCCACAGTTGTCCTCCATAGACTGTCATGACTGTGAAAATTGACTTCTTTTCTCCTCTGATCCCCATCTGGAGTTTTTCTCTTGGTTTGGTAATTTCACTGCAAGAGGATTAAAGCTTCTAATTTTAAAGTTTCACTTAGTGGAGTCTGATCCTGAAGATATCTGTGGCAATGCAGGACTGGAAATTATTGGTGCAGAAGTTAATATACATTTCGACAAACATATCTCTTCTGTATTGTAACATCTTTCAAAGGAGAGACTAACTTTGATCTGAGCAACAAATTGCCTTGAAATCTGACAATGATCTGACTTGAGGGTTTTAGCTTAAAGCTTATAGTTTCACTGAGATAATTTTTTTCTTAAAGGTGATGCACATTTTGTATGTTAGAAGCTATACAGATTTGTACTTCGCCACATATAGACTCTTAGGCTTTATAGGCTTTAAGCGGTATCTTACAATTTAACGTTAAGGATTAGTCTTAAAGTATGAAAGTAATACTATTTAATTTCTGATAATTATCAGTTAAAAATGTAACTGGTGGTTAACACAAATCCATTTGGGTTTTGAAACGAAATATTTTTAAGAAACTATGACTATTACCTTGATTTCTATGATCAATGTTCAGCATCATGTCCAGTGCTGTCTGGGCAGATATGAAACATAAAGTAACTATTCTACTTTTCTCTTCCAACAGAGATAAACAAAATCCAGAAGTTAAAAAGGCAAGTCCCTCTGCCACAATGAGCTCTGGTAAGTCTGTGTTGTTTTCCACTTGCCCTCATTGGCGTTCTTTTTTTATTGCTATTCCTGTCTGTTTCTGATGCAATTACTTTTTTTTTTTTTTTTTTTTTTTTTTTTTACTTCTGCCTCCTAGAAAAGAGTCAAAGCCCTTGAAAGCCCAGGGAATCTGACTACTAGGGCAGAACAGCTTCATAGTAAAAAGTGTCCTGGCTTCGTGTTTGTTGTTTCAGTTTGGCCCATAATGCTAAAAAAATGACTAGAAACGTTTTAAGCTGGACTAGGTCACTTTAGCTTCTTTCACTTTGGAATACAAGAATTAAAAATTACTGATTACCTGAAAAAATTATCTAAAAGAATTTGATATGTTTTAGTAGGGGTGAATACAAAGTTTGATGCCTGGATACAAAAAATGAGCTGCTCAAAGGAAAATGAGGGACAAGGAAATGGAGGCTGGTTGGGAAGAGGAAAACTTCTGGGCTTGTCTGTGTAACAGCCTAAATCAGAGTGAAAAGCAAAGCAGATACCATACTGAAGTGCCTATATGTAGGGCCTGTGGAATAATATTCCCACTTGATTTTAGCACCTTATCAAGTCTCAGCTTGGAGTATCGTGTCCAGTTTTTAGCGCCACATTTTGAGAAAAATGTGAACCATTTGGAGAGAGTCCAGAGGAAAGCTAGGAGACTGATAATGAGTCTGAAAAACATGAGCTGGGAATTCGGCTTAAGCATTGATAAGCTTCCAGGTTGTAAAGCACTGGAACAGGTTGCTTCAGGGTGATGCTGGAAGTTTGTCAGAACTCTTTAGGCAAACATTTGTCAGCAGTGACTGAGGTGGATTTGTTTCTGCCATGGGTCAGGAATATGGCTTTAGATGACCCTTGGAGGTCCTTTCTTGCACTTCCTTGCTCTGTGTTTCTCTGAATTCACAAGAGAGTTTTATTGATGTCAGCCAAGGATGTTGCAGACTTGAAAAATCTCTCTTGAAAATCTCATCACTGAGCTGGATACCATATGCAACAGGTACAGTCCCAGTTTAAAAGAGGCTGAAATGCAACTAAGCAAAGGGAAAGGAGAAACAAGAGTGTCATCCAAGGCAGATTTGTGTCTCCAAGCAATACCTCCTGAGGTAGTAGGAATACTTCATAGTTCCTCAATGAAATAGTGCTGACCCATGGCATCCCCCTTATAGGCAGAGGTTAAATTCAGTTGCAGATATTTTAATCCAGAAGTAATCATCATCTCCATTTGTTTTACAGAACACGAAGAAACTGATGTTGCAAAAACTGTCGTCAATGGGCTGAGCAGCAATGGACAAGAAAAAGGTGGGTTATGAGCTTCAGAGACATCTCTGCAGCTCCCCCTGCATGTCAGCTGCGTGCTGTGGTTGATTTCCTTGGACACTGACTACAGCAGGGGTTTCCAAATTTACTTTGCTTGGCGACTGATACAAGAAGAGCCTTGTGCTGCACCATGCCAGCAGCAGCAGCATTTCTTAGCTGAACAAGTGTTCTTTGTCTCTTAAAGGTGGCAGGTTGGATTTGCCTCTTTGTATATTTTTAGTGCTATTTTGAGGAAAGCTGTTCACTACTTGTACTTGTGAGCACATGTGAATCAGTATCTTAGTGTGTTTAGACCGCATGGGTTTGGGGGTGTCTATGTCTGAATCCTGTTAACTTTGGTGGGAGGTGGAGGTTTGAGCCCAAGATTAAAGGGCAGGAACTGAGCATTTAAGTAATAAAAAATAATTTTAAAAAAATAAATCTGTCATTAGCAACAGTGATTTAAAACCCAAATGTATTGAAACAAACCAGTTTTCACATTAACATTAGCAGGTTTGCAGTATGCTTTGTAGCATTCAATATTGTATAGTGCTGGTGTGTGTTTTGGCAGGGTGAAAGTATGTGGTTGTATGGGTTGGTTTTCTGCTGGTTTCATTTCCTTTCTTTTCCTTTGATGCCTTTTAATAGTGGTTAGTATTTGACTTCATTGTGGATGGATGAATTCAGGCAGTTACAGAGCAGAACAGAATTAGGGTTGTTTCTTAAACCACAGACTGTTTGGATTTGGGATCTATTGTATTTGCAGTGTATCCAGTGCTCAGGGAGAAGCAAGGAGAACAGGGTTTGTTTTGGGTTCCTCTTTCATAAAAAAAGAAAAAAAAAAAAGAAAAAAAAAGAAAATCAATCCAATCAAATTAAAAACTAATGATTTTGACGTTTGAAAAAATGTTATCAAGCTCTTCTGTCATCCTTTTGCTTGGGAGCCCTGTTCTAGGTTCATGAAGTCTGTGCTTTCTAGTTTTTCTGGGGACCAGAAAGATCTGCCACAAGAGGGGGTGTACACACTACCCTGATGTCATTGCCTCCCTCAAGCTGGCCCAGTGCTCAGTATTGTTGTGTAAAGTATTAGAAACATGGTTCCTCTTACTCCTGATTTTTGCAAGCCTGAGAGAGATTGCATGGAATATGAGGAGGCATAAGTAGCATTTTCTAGTTAATACATGCAGAAAGGTAAGAGGTTTTAAAGGAGAAAATCCTAGCTCTGCAGAAATCAAGAGCACAACTCAAGTTATTCTGGTGGAGCCATGATTTACACGGTATTTATTTTGGCAGATCCTGTTGAGCTTCACCTCTGAGTAGTTTTGCCTTTGCCTTTTTTTACCACCACCCCTCCTTTTTTTTTAAAAAATACCACATCAGTTGCAATAGAGAGTCTGAGAGAGAAAGTACCAGCTGTTTTGGACAGCTTTGTAACAATTGCTAGAATTTTGCACGGTGCTATGTATGGTTTTCCTCTATGTTATTACATCTAGTATAATTAGTGTGCAAGCTGGTGGAATCCAGTAGAAATCTCCTCAATTCACTGTTCAAATGGATGTTTTTTTTCTGAAATTGATATTTTGATGCTACCCTTTGGCATGGGGCTGTTTTCAAGGTTGCTTCATGTTTCACTTCCTTCTGTTGCTGAACTTGTAAAATATGTCCATAAAATCCATAATTCAGGTAATGTGGCTAGTTGAATGTTCGTCTCTCAACCTTTCAATCCTTGTTTTTTCACTTTGTTTTAACTGAGCCATATTAACGTTAACTTAATTTTTTTTTTTTTTTTTTGCATGTAGTGTATCCCAGCTAATTGATTACACTAAAATTTTTTGATGGCTTCTAAAAACTAATGCTTCCAGATTCTTTTCGCCTGCAGCATTGTGGCAGTCAGCAGTTAGTCAATTCAGTAAGCAGTTCTGTGAGCTGCATAAAACAGACATGTCCTGAATTAGGGCAAATGAAGGGATATTTTTAATGATTGCATCACTGCTTCATGGACTGCTTTTGTATTTGAAATTTCCTTCTTTTGTGTCTCCAAGTACATGAGAAAATTTTGTGGCATGCTTCCCAAACTCTGTTCTTCCCTTTTTGGATGTGCCATTTACACTTTTGTGTTTGCAGCTGTTGACGTCCCTTTATGTACACGCACTATTTCTGCCGTTAAAATTATCCCTGTGAAGAAACTGAAAAGTTCTCCTCACCTAGTGCTGCCTACAGGTATCTTCTTCCTTTCTCCCCCCCACCATGCATTAGTTGGCCATCATTTTCTCTCTTCTCTCTCTCTGTCTCTCTCTCTCTCTCTCTCTCTGTATCTCTCTGCTTCACCCACGCGCTTTGGCTAGCTTTCAGCTTCATCCTCTTCTCACTGTTTCCAGAGCTGTAGATTTCATCAGTAGATAATAAAGTTAGCTCTTGATGGCACAATACACTGTTCTCAATTATGCTGCTCCTCTGCAGACATAATTGTGTCTACTTGAGTCTGGGATCGTTGTAAGCTCTTCTGCTAATACTTGAATAATGTCATGACAGCCTCATTTTGAACCAAACTCCTGATGAACCAAAGAATGTTCCCTGTGTATCTTAAGTTTTTATGAAAGTAAATGGATGTCAGAGATGGTATTTTACAGGTTAAATCATTCAACACTGGTGGGATGGTTTTATTTTTCTGTAGGTACACTGACTTTACATAATCTTTATATGGATAAATAAGGATGTTAAGCTGTCTGTCACCCCCTCCCCAAGCACATGTTTTCCCACTAAAAGTACAAGGTTATTTTTGTATCTTGCTGGGTTTGGACAGTCAGACTAGTCTAGCTGGTACTGTTTCTCTCTCCTAATCTGTCACACATGTGCTCTGTTGCACTAGTACAGTGCTAATGTCATGTTTATTACTATCTGCTGGATTTCTATACTGAGATATTAGGATTTTTGTTTTCCATAATTTCATCTAAATTGTAGATTCAACATCTTAGGCATTTGTTTTCCTCTCCCAGATTGAAATAGTCTGACAATATTTTATTTTCAAAAACTTCCAAAGCATTTTAATTTTGTTGAGTTCAGAACATTTTTTTTTTCTGATTCTTACTGTTTGGATTCAGCATACAGGTTTAAAATGTTGTATGAAAAAAAAAAAAACCAACAGAACAAAACAAAAAAAACCCAAACAACTGCTTTGATTCCCAAACTTGATTCTTCTCCAATATGATGGAGACACTTATGGATGGTGAACTGTAAGTTTTTCCATTTCTCTTCAGTGCCTGTGAAGGGAATCTACGTGTAGGAGCATAGGAAAACAGCTACTCTGCACTCTTTGTGGATGTCTAAATCAGGCCTTGGAACTCCTAACACTGTGTCCATGCCTCAGAGTTACAGTGCTCTCAAAACTGGAGTCCCAGAGCTTAGACCTTTGTCTTCTGGTTTGAAAGTGGGTCCATAGAGTCCTTGGACTGCCTGTTGTGCCGTGTGGATGGGAACAATAGCCAGAACTGGGCTCCTGGCAAAAGGAATCCGGACCCTATCTAGATCATGAAAAAATCAGTCGGAGAAGTCAACTTCTATTTCACCAGGCACGTGGGTGACCTTATGGCATGATCAGTTCTATGATGTGAGTGCAAATGTGGTAGATTTAAGGGTTAAGCAGCATTTGACATGTCTGTGTGGATAGTCTTTCCCTTCACAGAGGCTACCTCAGTGCTGCCTAAATTAACTAAAGGCTGAACTGTAGGAAAATATCCTCTGATTTCCTATGTATTCCATCCTTTCTCCGATCCTAAGCGTGGATCTGAAGCTGTGCTTTTTGTGGAATCCCTAAAGCATTGGAAGCGCACGTAAAAGCTTGAACTGTGGGGATTCCAGCATAGAGGGCTTTTGATATGAGCCAAGTGTTTGACATTTGTTGAGTCTTTCCCCTTACTGCTGTCCATCTGGCACTATTGATGCTTCCCTATGTTGTGGCCACTTTGGCTGTGGTTTGTGTGTTTTGCAACCCTAGCTGAGGCATTGTCATGGTCTATAGGCACTATACTGGTGTGGATTTAATGGGCCATTATCTTACTGCAATCAGCCAAGGAATATTGATCTGCACAGACATGGGCTGTTGTCTGCTTTTGCCCTGCTCTGTTCAGTCTGAAGGTATAACTTTCATTATAATAACAGTTCCTAGAGGGGAGCTGCATCCCTCCCTGTGCAGTGATAGCATGATCTTCACCCCATAAAAGTAAAAATCATGTTGTCATTTGTGTAACACAGCACACGGTCAGTATTTCTTCAGGCTCCCTGTACGGTATCGTGGTAGGAGTAGCACCTCTGTTTATGTAGGTCAAAGTGAAGTCTGATGGCAGCTGTAGGGTCAGTAATAGCGCATGAGAGAGGGAGGTGATATGTTTTCCTGTGGAAGTAGCTTGAATAAATAAGAGACTCTTTAGGCTTATTGTTTGTATAGGTATCTTGGAGGAAACAACTCTCTGGAAGGATTTAAAGTGAGGGAGGAAGATAGCTTTGAAGTACTGGTTTGTTATTACTTAATAGGATGACAGAATGAAAAAACCCAAATCCATGGACTGAAATGCACAAAGGTAAGCCTGCCCAGAAGCTGTGCTGAATCAGGCCTCAGCAAGGATGCTGGCATGATCTGGTCTCTGGCTCACAGGGTGATCTGAATAGGTATATGTTAAATCTCCTAGTTTTTGGGATTTGGGTTCCTGTGTCAGAAGGTGAAACACTGCCATGAAATGGGGGGAGATGGCAAGGACATGGCTTGCAGTGCCCTGTTTTTAGACCATATTAAGCATAGTTACAAGATTTTATCCTCCAGTGGTCGTAAGACTTTTTTTTTTTCTCTTTCAGTCCTGCACAAAAGGCATTTTTAAGGGCTTTAGCAAACAAATCACATTGATTTATACCACTGGAACATCCATATAAAAGAGCCACAGGTGTAATGGTAGAATATCCTTGCTCGTACAATATCTCCACACAAAACTAAATAAAGCGAATGGACCTGTGAAATTTGGTTCAAACACTTATCCTTTTTTCCTCCTTTCTTAACTCTATTACACTGACTCAGAACTTCTACATTCGTCAGTTACATGAATATGAAACTGCTTTGATTTCTCAATGCTTTAAATCCAGAGCTAATCTTCATCTGCATAAACATTACTAGATTGATTCACCTGGAGGCAGCCATGCTATAATTACTCCTTACTCCATAGAACTCTGATGGTTCCTAATAGCTTTGTATCATCTCTGGATGTGTCTCCTCTGTGTATGTGCATTTCCTGTAGAAACGGATCCCACTAAAGTCTGCAGTGGAAAAGGAGCTGTGACCCTCCGGGCATCTTCAGCCTATGAAGAGAATCAGAATATCACTTCACCATGTCCTCAGGATGCTGAGCAACCTGAAAGTAAGTGGGTAGAAGGTTAACTGGGAGCATGTTATTCACAATAACCTCAAATGAGGTCAGTCCAGGGTCTTGGGCTGATTTTTTTAGCTACAATTTAAAGCCTGAAATCCTGTAGCATAGCCAGAAACAGGAGGGAGACTGCCTCCCGTTCTCTCCTAGTGCCAATTTCATGACCAGTCACTCATTGGCTTAAGTTTGTTTACAGCTCCCTTTTGCTGTCAGGAGTGCCAAAAGCTCTCAATTTTATTTTATTTTATTTTTTTTTCCTTTTTCTTCCTGGCAGGCCCATGTCACCTCGTTTTATCCCAGGCATGAGGTGAAAGAGAAAGAGGCCTAGTGGTGCTGTCGCCACTGTAGCATTCACTTGGGTTGTCAAGGGAGCAGGGATAGCATCCCAGACAGACAGTGTCTCTGCCATCTTTCAATAGCAGATGTGTAATTACTTAATTGTAGGAGACAGGCAAAGCATAACAAACCTAGCCAGTGTCGTGGGTCTGGCAGAGAGGATGAACTCCCAAAGGGAAGATGCCGTTAGGGGGAGGGGGTCAAACTTGCTCTTGAAAGCAAAGCATACATAATTTCTGACTGTATTGTTGGGGGAAGGGCAGTTCCATTAATTCCAGCCCCAGTGTGCTGCTTTCTGCTCTGTCTTCTCCCATTCTGCTCCACCAATCACCTACCCTCTTTTCATGCTTGCCATTCTGTTTCTTCACTCTTACCCCCCACCATTGCCTCTCTCATTTCTGTTGATGGCTTCATAAATTTCCAGCAGCCCAAATGGCAGTGAGGCCATTACTATGGAAATCAGCTCATTAATACTTCCTTTGCTTACTCTCTCAATCGCTTTATGAAATGTACTTTGGAGCTGGAAGAGCTTTTTGCATGTAACTGAAACAGCAAAATGGGTAGAGGGGTGGGGCCAGTGGGAAGTGGGTAAATAGGTGATGAGACCAATGCATCTAGCTGCAGGGACTGGGTTGTAACATGACATAATATTTTATAACTCGCTTGGTGCACGCACACTTACTCTGCAAAACCCGATCTATTTGTTGGCAGTCCCTTATCTCAGTTAATAATATGTAGTGATATTGATAAGGATAGATATGTCTTCATAGCCTGCGTCATAGCTGAATACGAGGTCCCTACATTTCCAGTAATTTGTGCTGTCTGGATGTCAAGCTGCAGCTTTAGAAAGTAGCTAGCTGGGCTGCCTTTTTGCCTCTGAAATAAGAATGTCAATGAACAATTGTTTCTTCATTGCTCTGAATGAATTGCTTTGTGTTTACAAAGGTCAGAAACAAGGAGGGCATCATGTTTAGGGCTGGTCTCTATGGTAATTAGGCAGCCCTGTCAGAAAGCATTTTATGTGTGAAATGGAGTAGCTTGACTCTTAACTTCAATTGATACATGTTTTCTGTAAATGTAACGGGGTTTTTTTCCCCCCTTTCCTTTCCTTTTTGCTTGTACTCCACCCCCACCTCTCCCACCCCTCCTTTCTGTGAAACGCTTAGGTCTGGAGCCAGAAAACCCAGAAACAGGTACAAACATTGGCTGCTTGTGTTGTTGCTTCTGTTGCTTGCTTGGAAGTATTTCTTGTTGCCTGGAAAAAAAAGCGGGGGGGGGCCGGGACTAGGGGGAAAGAAGAAAAGGGTCTCCTCCTGTTGCTCATCCTAGAGCTGGAGGGAATGCTCTGTGATCCGAGTTTTCATTCCCCTCATAGATGATTGGAAGCTGTCATCTAACACTGATGCCAATGGGGATGCTCAACCATCTTCTCTGGCTGCCAAGGGTTATAGGAGTGTGCGTCCGAACCTTTCCTCAGACAGCAAGCCACAGGTAAGCCTTTCTTCTGTGACCCTGAGGGTGATCTTCTGGGTTCAAGCACTGGATTCATGGTCAGGAGTCCTGGGCTGAACTCCAAGTTTTGCTGCAAACTTAGGTAAGTCGCTGTGCTTCAGCTTTTCCTACCTTTAAAATGGGAGCAACGCTGATGTCAGCAGAGTGCTGTGGAGCTTGTGTGTCAGGCACATCACAGTGTTTTCTTGATGGATGAAGGAGAAGGACAACGCTATTTGTTTGCAAGAAAAAAAGTGAAGTAGTGATCTATTGCTGTTTTGTCTTTTATGTTGATCTATTTCCTAGAGGTTGCTGCAGGCTGAAAGCAGAGTTACACCCTACATTAAAAACAAGGTATTGGGGAAATGCCTTTCAGTTTTAATGCTGTAACTGATACAAGCCAACAAGGGAAAGGTTATTTGTACCTGAAGGTGAATTGTTGAAATCAGTCTGTCAAGAGAAGTGTAACTTCATCCTTTTTCTTTCGGTCTGCACAGAAACAATCTGAAAGCTGATAAAGGATATCCTTTGTTAGAAACTGCTTTCTTGTATGAAACAGAGTCCCTTTAAAGCCATGTGCCATCAGGGTGACTGCTCCCTTCATCAGGGACCTATAGCAGTGTCACAGAACAAACACTGTTCCTGAAATTCTAAGTGGAAGAAGGCACAGTTGCTTTCATTTACTGTCACTTACTACCCAATACTTACAGCTGTCCTGTAGTCCTCATCTTGTTGACAAACAGAGTGTGCTGATGCACATAGTACTTCTTATAGAAGTCTCAAGGGCTGCTGTCCAAACTAAGCTGAAATGGAAGAAAATGGAAAACGGCAATTGCAGGTGGTGAATTAGTATTTCCTGATAATACTATGTAGTGGTAAAGTGAGGCTTCAGCTAACAAACGGAAATACTGTGGCACTTAAAAGTCTCCAGACTAAAACTACTGCCCTTAAGGAATCAAAAGGAATGAGCCTGTTCCAGAAGTAGAAGCCCTTCAGAAGGAGCACTTACAAACCCACTTCTCCACTCCCTTGCATATCAGGAAAGTGGGGGAAAGAGGGGCACCATGAGGACAGTAGATTTTTGGGACAACAGCTGTAATTTTATGAAGCTATTCTAGGTCTATATCCATGTAACAGGAATAGATGCTGGCCACAACCTGTCATATGTGGATGAGTTTTAAAGGAGGTATTTTGAATGTTTGCAAGCTGTTAAGGCATTTTCATTCTCTGGTTTTGACCATTTTAGCAGTGGTTTAGACAGCCTTTGCCCATAAAGATATGACAACAGAGTGTATGTAAAACCTACTTTCGTAGTCTCCAGAGGGTTAAATTACAAGAATGCAGGGAGCTACTGTTCACTAGGTGGGTGTTTTAGTTCTCTTCTTTTCAGTAGTTTATAGCTGCTGGCAACAAAACAATAAATAAAATGAAACCTCTCTATTGCTAAATTATTTTACTTCAAAACAATTCATCTTTTAGAAAAAATTCACTGTAATTTGAGTTGGAGTTGCAGTTGGCAGGCAGTTGTGGAGTTAGCAACCTATATGTTGCAAAGTACCAAAAACACTAAAGCTTTTTTATTATTTACTAGAAGCAGAATTTATCTGTTAGTGATCTTGATTCTGGAGACAAATTCTTATTAACTCAGTTCCTGAAGAAACTTTTAACTGTTCTGTTCTTCCTGAAATTATTTTCAGGACTGAAAAAATCCTGAAAAGAATTCAAGAGCTAGCTTTTAGAAGGAAGAAGTGCTGTCTTATTACTTAGCCAGCTGTAGCAGGCTACAGTATTCACATGATATCTACTTTCGTTAGCACTGGTGAAACTTTGCAATATTCATTTTTCAGCAGTGCATTTAACATGCAGCAGAAATGGCCTAGCGCTCTGAATTTGACTTTGTGATTCAAATGTCACCTGTACTGGGAAGTACTTAGTTACATAGGTATTAGCCTGGATTTAGTTAGACAGGATGTTAAATCTTGACTTGGGCTTTCCCAGGGGCATGGTGGGTGTTGCTGCGCAGGCCTCTAAACAATACAGCACTGAGATTTATTTAGCCCAGAGAGAGAAATGTGTAGGCAGGGGCTTGAGAGCTGGGTAAAGTTTGTCTGCTGCAGAGAGAGAGAATGCCTGAGGTGGTGTGTGTGAGTGAGTTCTGGACTGGCCTTCTAGATACTGTTTTTGTTTTTTTATTCTTGCTGCATTAAAACCTGCTTAACCCAAGTCTAATGATCAAATTCATTCTTTGAATTTATTTAATTTTTCCTTCCTTTTTCTTTTCATTTGGTGCTGCTTCCTCGCTCCCTCTCTTCTTTCTTGACTCTGCCTGGGCAGGCCCTTGCTCCTCCCCGTCCTCCTCTTCCCAAAGAGGAAAGCTTTGCATGGCGTCCTCGCACTGACACTAGAGTGACCAATCTGTTGCCAGTGCCCATCATGGACTGCGTGTACCTGAATGCACCCAAGCCTTATACGCAGCGTGCATCACCAAATGCCAGTGCACGGTGTTATTTCTCATCACCTACTCCCTATGGGGCCATCCCCAGTGGGAAGCAAGGCTTGCCAGCAGGGCATTCTCCCTCTTCAGGCCCCAAAGATGAGGTGCATGCTGGGCAGCCACTCTTGGGAAGCCACTCCTCGTCAGATGCATCAGCCATACAACGTAAACCTGACAGGGCAGATCCCGGTAGTAAGGCTGGAATGAATTCCAGTCATGAGACGAAGGCGGATAAAAAGGTCACCAGACTATATGTAGCTTGTTTATCTAACAGCACTTGCTCAGCTGCATCTGAAAATTCCACTGGCACCACACATGACCCAGCAGCCAGCACCAGTTTGGGCGCTGAGCTCACTCAGGCACCAGCCACCAACATTGTTTCCTCTGTAACAGATACTGGAAAGTCTCTTCCTGCTCCTCCTCCTCCTCCTATTCCTCCCAGGCCATCCTTTTACATTGTCCTCAATAAAGACGCAGTTAGTTATGGTGCGAACCAACCCTCCTGGACTCAGTCGTCACCTCTGCAAGCTGTGAGGGACAGAGTGCTAGAGCCCCAGAGCACAGCTGCCACAGAGGACAGGATGAGAAAAGAGCCTTACCTTACTCAGCAGCGACAGCCACCGTACAAGGCAATGGGACGCAGCATGGTACATGTTTTCTCCATAACCTTGTTTTCTTTCAGCCGTCTGAACGGTTCTTCGATTCATTACAATGTTCCCTTAATGCTTTATTCTCCTCCTACCTAATTTCTGAGCACTTATCGTGCCACCTGAGTCTTGTGATCTTCACTCGATAATATTTAACACCCCATGCGTGAACCCCCCCCCCCGGCATTGATCTGTGTGTTTGTGTGTGTGTGGTGTTTGTAGGGACTGGGTTGGGCTGGTGAGGATCTTTCTGTTTAAAAGAAGGTGTAAAAGAAGCAAACTCAGTAATGTGATGGTTAATGCTTCTGTGGTTTGATTTAGCCCCACTGCACAGAACTAGAGGAGAGGGGTGGTGAGAGAAGGGAAGATTTTTGTGAAGAATTGTATGTGTTCATAGAGGCCAGGGTTGCAAAACTGAAGAAGTACGTCTCCCTAAGGAAAGAAAATCTGTTGGGGCTTCGTATCATTTTGGGTGCATCCTTGCATGACACTATATGGCTGCGTTAGACTAAAGTACCAATTTCCCCCATTGCATAACAACACCTTGTTTCCTACAGGATGCTACTGCCACCAGCACAGCTCAGCCTGGAGTTATAGTAGTCCCCCTCCTCCAGGTTAATCCAGACAGACAGCAAGAAGGCAGCTCCAGCACTCCACCACCACCTCTGGTTCCTTTTGGGCAAGGCTCCGTAGTCCCTGAGGCTGTTTCTCCTGGCTCACCCTTGACTTTTCCGACTCTAGACGATTTCATTCCCCCACATCTCCAGAGGGGTTCCCACCATAACCAAGCACCCTCCGCATCTGGCACATTACCCTCTGTTTACCCGAAACTGCCATTCTTCTCATCACCACCTTCACTTGTCCCTCCAGTCACAGGGGCTTTGCACAGTGTCTTGAAGCCTGAAATCACTGGAGTCATCTCACATACAGTAAGCTTGCCAAGTACTCTCCTTGCCCTTTTCCTAAATTTATATTCCCTGATTAAAATTACTTTCTTCTTGCAATACTAAACTTGAGAGAGGAGTGATGACTCACTCCCTGCCACCAGCATGACAACTGAAACCTTGTTTACGTCCTGTGCTAGTGCATGCATGTTGCCTGCCTTGTGCAGCTTTGAACCTTCCATTGACTTCTGGCAACAACATTTGACTGTCTCACTTTATGCCCATTCTGCTGGGTGATGCACGTCTTAAGAGTCTTCAGGATTTGCTCAGAATTATGAATTCTGTATAAACAGAATAGCTGCAACTAACTGATCTCTTCAGGCTCTTTTAATAGCATCCTTAATTGTCGCTGAATAACATTTAAAGCAGCAACAGCAGACCACTTAAAGGTTAGGGCTGGCTTTCTGTTCACTTGAAGCCACGAGACCGTATGGTCTCTACACAAATCCCTGCTGAAATCAGTGTAAGATTACTGCCAGTATCCAATGACCTACAAGCAATAATAAACAGTTACTGAGCTAAGAGCCTTCTAAGCATGTAGGTGCTGTGGGATAGATTAGGGGGAGAGTCTCTCTTCAGTTTGGAATTGCTTTCTTGGAAAATTTTGAAGAATTCAATTAAAAAGTACCACAACAGTTTTAACTTGGAATTCACTGTATTCTTCTTGGATTAGGTTTTACTTCTCTTTAAGCTCATCACCTATTTTTAAAAAGTCCCAAGGGACAAGGAGGAAAAGTAGCTCTCAGTTAAAGTTGTAGAGGATGAAAAAAAAATACCTGACCCTCCTTGTACTGGAAGTCTAACAACCACCACTTGTTTTATGTGGTTGCTTGTAAGGGCAAGTAAGAAGTTCAACAGAAAACCTGTCTTCTCATGATGATGGTTTCTCTGCCCTCTGACACTATAGGTGTCGAGCAAAGAGAGTCTTTTCCCAAATTGCATTGTTTACAGTATTATCACAGCCTGAAAAATGGGGCTGTGTCTCTCTCTTAGGAACATCTGTTTCTGAAGACCACTGATTCTTTTCTGTTCTCAGGAAATGTCTATGGCCTGATCAGATGCTGCTTGGAGCAAGATCACCTCCATCCAGCAGAACAGGATTGTTCTTCCATATTTCCCCTCTGGGTTGGAGAAACTGTAGATGCTTGTTCTGGCAGATTCTCACTATGATTTATTTCTGAGCTCTGCTGACAGAACTCACTGTGGCCCCTGTTCAGCCCCCTGCCTGATCCTATAAGTCCTTTCCCCTGATGGTGGTGTGTATGAAGAGCACTGAATTGCACTTGACAGAAAAGCCAGAAGTAGGGATTCTTCTGGAGTAATATTCTGGGCATATTCAGGGGGTTTTTTAATAGTGATGAAGATCCCTCTGAATGCTCAGTCCATTTTACAGATGCAACATTTCAGTCAGACGGTGGAGTAGCAAGAGTGCAGAAATCTGGTACGCTGTTCCATGCTCTCTTTGTTTGGATTCTCATTCCCCATTAATGGTAATTTTGTGTCCAAATTCCTTAAGAAGCTTTGAAAAATCTCAGCCTACACTGGCACACACAGTTCTTCTTTCTGTTTTTCCCCTTCTACCAACAAAAGCCCGGTATCCCAGGACTGAGATGTTTCAAAGATTAACTGGTTTTTAAAGTCTCCCAGATGACACATCCTGTATTTCTACTGAACAATCAGAGCTGTGGTGATACCAGAGGTAGGTTTGAAATAGGCAAATAATGAAGCAGAGAGCTTTAGGAGGACAAAAGCAACTTGCTATCTGTGCTCCAGTGGCAAAGCCACGTTGAGTACCTTCCTTGCTTGAGTCCTACTTTATACCCTCTATCTGTTTTCATTATTTTACCAGGTAGGTGTCACATTGTCTCCTGAGCGATGGTGCTCACTTAATTCCTTGGACTTTCCCTACAAAACCAGCTGCAGTAATAATATTTCACTCCAGAACTGCATGAGTTTTGCATGTCTGACTTCCTGCTATGAAAGGAATACTTTTAAAACAGATGTTTTTGTGTGTATGTATCAGGGGAAAGATGTCTGTGTCTTCCCCCCTAACCAGATTTGCTAATTTCTGGCACCCTATATTTGCTCTAGAGAGTCTGATGGATAAATTTAGTGCTGCCTTTTGGGGTTGGAGTTGTGAAACCCAACACCAAATAATTATAGTACTGCCTTAGTAAACTAATTGCATTAACAACGAGCAGGGTACATACAAGGAGCAGGGTAACACTCATGCTTATGCCTTTTTTACTAAAATTTGCTATGATAATGCATCTCATTCAACTTAAAAAGTTTTGGGTTTTTTTTTCCAGATTTTCCCAGTGTAGCAACCTTTTGCAAGCTGTTAATAATGTGTTGCTCTCCTTTTCAGGACCCAGGTCCTGTGCTGAATGAAGTGCCCCAGCCTGGCACTGGTAGTGATTATCCAACCTCCTTCACTTCAATCAACAAGTCTTCCTCTGCCTATCCTTCTACCACAATTGTCAATCCCACTATTGTCCTCTTGCAGCACAATCGAGGTAAGGAGACTTGCGTATAGATATTTGTGGCTCAAACTGAGCAGCCAGTTATGCTACAGGGAAATGGAGAATGTGTGCACTGTGGACAGTGAAGTCCAGACTACTAAGAGCTAACAAAGCTGCTTCCAGAAAGTTGTAGTGACTGAAGCATACAACAAGCAAGTATGAGGTTAGAGGCGTGGGACACTGCCTACTTTTTCTAATTAAAACCTGTGGATCAGAAGCCACTCTGAGGCTGGGGGAGAGGCTTATAACTGGGCTATGGACATATGAGTAAGTTATTGCAGGGTAACAGTTTATTCCCCATCAGATGTCCTGTCATAGTGGAAAAGGATTTATACTCTCATCTATCTGTCAGCAGAAGCAAAGGTAGCGTGAGGTAGGTTGTGTCTCACTGGAAAAGGTGATATGTTACTTCTCAGCTACTGCAGTGTGAAAGCAGCCATATTTTCAGTTACTGTGGGAGAGATTTGACCTCTGAATACTCAGCAGAATTTACCCAATAGTAAATAATCAGTTTGCCCATAAGTTTGAACCTGGCAATTTGTTCCTTTGTCCATAACTATATCAACTCAGACTCATGCTGCAGTAGTCCTTGAGGTCTGGGTTTGTGTGTGAACAAAACCACCTTGTTTTGAGCACTCCCATGTTCACCAGTGTAAACCTTTCTCTGCCTCACAACAGCTCCATCTGAATGGGTAGTTGTATCTCTTTACCCCTGGCATTAGAGGGAAACTTTGCTACCCCTTTTTACTTCTCCTGATGGCTGGCATTGCCCCAGCCTCCCAATTCATTGTGCATCACTGAAGACTAGCTTATAAAGGGCCCTACAGATGCAGTCCAATTTACCTTGGTTTCCAGTGGGCTTAAGGATCTCCAGGGCAGGCAGATTCCAATCTACAATGCTACGACTTAACCTTTTGCAGAGAAAAAAAATATAATCAGAAAACAAGGGGAAGACCTGCACTCCTCATATTGTAGTCATTCTAATTACAGGTGTGTGCTTCTTTGTAGCCCCTCATGGGGTTTTTTTTTTTTCCAGTGCCTTTTTAAAACAGACTTCAGCCTTTCATCCGGAAGGTAGTGTCCTCGCTGTAGCACAGCTGATTATAAGGGTAATGAGTAGGTTGTCTCTTCCTTTTTGTCAGCATCAGAAGCTGCTTTACTTATGTGCTTCTTAATGAGGGTGTCTGGATTCCTCAACTGCTTCAAGAGGAGAAAATATTATTTTAGACAACCTTTTTATCTCAAAACTTTTTGTTGACTTTCTTGAGGTGGGATACTCTTTTGGTTGGTTTTCACATTAAATGTGGAGCATTTCAGTGTCTACCACATAAGGATATTTTCTCTCTGTAGATCTTAAGAGCACAAGAAACAAATCTGTATAATATGATGATACATACACACTGGCTCTCAGACACCTTATGTCAGATTGTTCCGCTTACTAATTACCTTCACAGTTAACAATTTGTCGTGTCTGAATATGTCTTGCCTCTGACCATTAGCACTCATGACACTGTATCCTGATAGACTGAAAAGCCTTCTCTCATCACATTTTTGTTGACTCTGATATAGATCATGGCCTGATTCTAGTGCATCTTTTTTTAGTCTATATTAGTTGAGTTTGTAATTTGCAAGAATCATATTGAATTGGTTTGACAAAGCATGTTGGTCATAAATCTGTATTGACTGACATTGCATGTGTCATACTATGTATTTATTAGTAAAATCCCATATAAGTCATTACAATTTTTTTTTTTTCTGGCACTATTGTTGACTTGACAGACAGATGTCATAACACTAATGCTTTTCAAAGGTTGGTACATTTGCTTTCTTCCTTGTCCTGTGGAGTTTCCTTTGTATTCCAAGACATACTGAGGATGAATGCTAATGGTCCAGTGAGCTGCTCTCTCCATAACTGCTTTCTTTAGAGCAGAAAACTGCTCTAAAACTCTTTGGTACAGTTTGTATGAATGTTCTAATTTTCATGTATCTGACCTCAGTTGTTGTCATTCAGCATACTCCTTAGTTACTGTTGAAATGGAAAGTATTTCTCCATCAGGCAGTAGGACGTCAGACTTTTTTCTTTTTTCTTTTTTTTCCAAATGCAGAATGGAAATAGTAATCAGCTGTGTCATCGTTTCTGCTCTCTTATTAACAGTTCCACTGTACCTATTTGGTAAAAGAACAAGATAATTGCTAGGTTTCTGTTTATTCTTTATGTATCTCAAAACCTATTTTTGAGTCTCAGAGACATTCTGTTAATTCTTTCACGTCCATTGTTGTTTTCTTTCACTTTCCAGCATATGTTACCTACTCATAGGTATGCATTTTCTTACTTTTCCATCTTTTTATGTATTGAGGGTTTCTTACCATTCCTTATGCTTCCATTCCTATTTAGGCTTTATCCCAGCATAGCATTAAGGTTTCCTTTTGCTCACTTACCATTTTAAAATGGTTCTCAGAGATTAGTTATCTATTACATTTCTGTCCTGGCTGACTCGTATTTGGTTTCATCTTTATAGGCCTTATCTATTCAAAACTACTTTGGTCTCATGGCGTATGACAAATTGTTACTAGGTTATCATCCGCCTTCCACTGAATGGTTAATTGTGTTTTGTGCTGAAATAAATTCCTTCATGTCAAGATGAGACTTGATATAAAGTCCTCTTATGTGCTGTGAAATACCCTCTGAATTAGAAATTTCAAGGCCATTTTAATTCTGGCATTCTCAGAACTGTAGTAGTTTGGTTAGCCTTCCACATGGATACCGTGGCTTGCTTTCTCCTCAGTGTTTTATTGATTGCTTTTTAAGGAGCTGGTTATCTTATTCTCTAGAGTGACTGTGGTAGCAGACATCACCTACTATCCTATTTTATACTTTATCTGCTAGTTTATTAATCGGTAAGCAGGTAAGACCCTTTGATTTGGAGCTGTCGGAGCCTTAGAAAGAGGTAATGACATTTGAAGCACAGAAACTAGACTATATCCTTTTTTTGTCTGCTTGACCTTACTCAGTAAGTTGTAATGAGAGATCTCAGAATTTTTTCTGGTGGATTTCAGTATTACCAACTGAATAAGATTTGTGCTTATAAACAAGTTATTTCAGATTCTCTTGTTCATTCCTAGCACCAAGGTAAGAATTTCTTCCTTTCATATGTATCTTGATGAATTTTCTTGTTTGACACCTTTATTTAGCACTGAACACGTACTCAAATACTTGTTTCCTGTTCCCTTTTTTACTGGTTTCAAGTCTTAGTCTCTTCCAGTGCTCCCTCATCTGGGAACTCTGAAGGCATCTATAATCATTCTTTTACTGTTGCCAGCAGTTATATTCCTCTGCTGGACCCTTTCTCTGAGAAGCCTGTGAGGTTTTGGTCTTTGCTTACAGTCCCAGAACACAAGATGAAGGATGAAAGCCTCAGTTAGCTAGTGTGTGCCTGGGGCTACAAGCTGTCTCTGGTCAGGCAGGAGAGTGAAATAGCAAACACCTCCTGCTCCTGCTTCTATCCATCAGCAGCTCTCAGAGACACAAGTGAAAAGGAAAGCTCCTCTTCATGGAAAAAGTACTTTTTTTTTTTTAAATGAAAAGTGTGTTCATTCATGATATTCACTCCTCTGTGGAAGAAGAGATAGGAAAGAGCTCTTTAGCATCAACTCTAAACCACAGGTTTTTGTCACCTTAGCAACTGAATGCAGTTCTCATCAGTGAAGGTGACGGCTGAAGCTGAGACCAACCTCACTCCCATTTTTTCTCCTTTCTCATATTACACCAGCCTAATCCTGGTAGCCTGCTTAGAAGAGTGAACCCTGCAGCAGGTGGTTCCCATCTACTTTTCAGGTTCAGATTGCCAACCCTTCCTTTTGCCCATTGCACACAGGGGTTTGTTTCACACGTTGTCAGCTATCATGTGAGCATAATGTACACAAGCAATTTGCCATCAGTCCTTAGCAGAGCAGAAGTGCTGGGGTTAAAGAACAAAGTTCATAGATACTGGTGAGGGAGCTGCACTGAGAGAGGGGAAATATCAGTCTTGCTGAATTTGATCCACTTACTACAAATATCTAGTGAAGATGGGTTCTGCTAGCAAACAGCATACAACCAGAGGACTGTTACCTGCTGCAGACTTGCTTGACAAGTGTCCCACACCACCCCAAAGCACAGTTATTTACTGGGCAGGCATTGCATGGCATGGTTTCTTATGAATATATAACAGGTGTGATTAGTATATTAAGTTTTGAGAGCTTTGCATTAACAGTATGAGCTTTGAAGAGTTTTTGTATGTCAGTAAAATAGTTTATTCTTTTCAAATGGCTTTCATGTTTTAAATGAAAGGATTAATTGCTAAGGAGTAGAAAGAGCAAACAGAGAGCTAAGAATTCTTGGTTTATTCCCAGCTGTGACTTGGGCAAGTCATTTGGGCATCCCTTTAGAAAGCAACTGTGAGCATCAACTTTAGGGTGGTTAAACATGCTGGAAGATAACACAAATGTCCCAGTCTGGGAACTCAGTAATGAAAGGCCCTAGACCAAGGGGACCATTCTGAGAATCCAAGCCTTAACCAAGCTGTGTCTGTGCGCAAATCACCAAGTCCATGGCTTGGTAGTATGTGATGAGACTCAGCAAGAATCAGCAATGACTTGATCCTTTTCTACATCCCTTTGAAATACTACAGCATTATTGTTTCAAAATGGAATTCATGTTAATGGTAACAGAGTTAGTTATCAAGTTGTTTGACTCTGTGAATCTTTACAATTTTTCTCCTGTCCAACTTTTTTCATTCTCTGATGTGAAGAAAAAAAAAATGCTCTTTGCAAACATACTGGTCACTGCGTCATCAGATTTGTATTATTCCATGAGGCTGCAGTGTGGAGAAGGGACTGTGAGCTGTCACTTTGGCAGAGTATTTGAAAACAGATTCTCTCCAGCAGCTGCTGCCATTCTCTCTACAGAGTATTTCTTGCCTGTCAGAAAAGCAGCAACAGAGCACTTGCTGTTTGTGTCTCACCCATTTGTTCTGTATTTCTTTTTGTTTTGTTTTGTTCCTTACCACAGAACAGCAAAAAAGGCTTAGTAGCCTGGCAGGTATGATGTGAAAGGTCTGCTATCCCTCAACTGCTGCCTCTGCTGGAAAAAAGCTGCTGCTTTGTTAGGTTGTGGAGTACCTTTAGCAAACACACTTCCCAGGAATTGCAAAGGAATGAGTATAAATATTTGTCCTGGCTTAGTCCAGATCACTGAATGTTTTATTTCAGTCTTCTCTCCCAGTGCTACCTGTGTGGCCACATGTTAATATATCAAAACCCTGAATTACTTTTATGTTCCTCCTTAGTCATAAGATTTACATAAAGTTTGATTGTTCTAGTTGAGTTTTGGAGCTGCCTTTTGAACCTTTTAGGTTTATTCCCTTAGGGCATAGTCTTGAGTTTTTCTACACAGCCATTAGTATTAGTCTTGCTTGTGATGAGGGAGGAGGAAGGGAAATAAAAATTAGTATTTACATGACTCAAGAGCAGAAGTATTTGTGCTAGATGTCAAGAAATAGATTATAAAATTGTAGTGTGCAAGTATGCACGTGTACTTGCCACCCTTCTCTCACCAGGCAGCACTCTGCTCTTGCAGTGGGTGTGAGAGCCTCTCCTTGAAAGAAGATCTAGTGGTTTTCTGATCATCTTTCCCTCCGCCCACCCCATGCTGTCGTAAATGCAGAGGAGGGAGAGAAGAGAGTCACAGAGAGTGTCTAAGCACTTTAAATATCACAAATAGAAACACAGGGAAGCCAGTACTGCATGCTCTTTCTCAACTGTGTGAGCCCTGGACTAGTGGAGCGCACCCCATGCAGACAGCATCTGCCTATGAGACAGTTGCTGACCTGATCTGACTTCATCTACCAGGTTCCTTCGGCATCCACACCAGCCTGACCCTCATCCCTCCTGCCACCCTGCTGAGGTGACAGGTTGCATAAGAGCTAACGCCAGCAGCTCCTTCCCTTCTTGTAGGTGTTGTCCCATTGGATGCCACTTGGCTGCAAGTTCAGTGCTTGCCTGCAAGTCCAGAGGTTTCCTGTTGGTTTTCAACTTCTCAAGGTGTTTCCCTTCATTATTGGGAACTCCTTTGTTTTCTAAACTAGAGATAGCCGCAAAGCCGTTTGTTACAGCCCGAACGATCCTCGGTCTGGAAGAGTGTAGTGTGGCACAGCTGGGTCTGCACCTGCTCTCAGTGTACCAAAACAACTACAAAAAGCTGATGGGTGCCACCTCTCTCCCTGCTTTTTATGTCCTCTTGGTCATAGCGGTAAAACTTTTATTGCTGTGGAACCCCGTATATTGCTGCTGCTCTTGCAAAAGGACGGCTCAGGTACCATGGAGTGTGCTGGTTGGTGCAGTCTGGTTATGTGGGTGATTAGGCACCAGATTTGACTCTCTGATTTTTAAATACCTCAAACCCTGGTACATATCTCCATAAACTCTTTTGAAGTCATTTGATCTGTATGGCAAATCAGTCAGTGTGAAAGTTTTGCCATTATTCTCTCAGATGTAGGGTATTGTAGGAAGTCTGTGGTGAAAGATGTCTTCTATAGTTCTTCCCTCTGCAAAGACACCCATGCAGCAGGTGTCTGTTTGCACTGTCAGCTGAGCAGCCAAACTGGAAGAGGATGAAGTTTGGAGTGATTAAAGAACTAGATGATCTTTAAGGTCCCTTCCAACCCAAACCATTCTATGATTCTATGAAGTCGTCCTCTTGGCTGAGTCCTGTGGACCTAGAAACCTAGCAGGGAGCACAGGGAGGGCTTGTCCTAATACAGCTCATGCTGTCAGACAGGTCTTTCCTGTCTCCAGGGTTGTCAGTCCAGCACCTTCGACCAGTTTTAAGTACACTCCAAAAAATACTTCTGAAAACTCTTTCAAAGTATGTTTTAACTGGCTGGTAGATTTTCCCCCTGCCTATGCTATCCTAGATATCTCCCAAACCTTCATGTTATAATACCAAGATGTGAATTTGCAGTCAGGAGATGGTTGGCACAGGCCAGATGGTGGGGTTTATTTTTGCTAAATAATCAAAATAAAGATTTTGCTTAGATTATGGCTGTGGTACTGGTAAGTCAGATTGCGATACATTTACCCAGTTGTTTCCATCTATAGTAGGTATTTTGAAGATTTTCATCATAGTTTCAGATAGGGTCTACCTGGCAAACATCAAACTACTTTTCCAGTGCAGGGAGCTAGGGAATAAAAAAGAAAATATATATTTACCAGTCCTGTTAAGGACTTTGTGACCTTTTCTGGCACTGAATTCTTTATCCTGCAGAAAATAAGGACTTTTCTAGACCAGAAGCTCAGGCCTTGTAACATCAGCAGTGACAATGATAAGTAATGGAACGAATCTGTGATCTTTCCTAAAGTTTACAACCTCTGTACATCCTCATCCACGTCCAAAAACCTGCTTCCTTTTGGTCTTCAATGTCATGGCAGAATAGTCTAGTTTCAGTTGTTCTTTCCATGCTCTCTTCTTACAGGCTTAGTAAGGAGTTTAGGAGAGGGAATGGACCAAATACTTCCTACAAAATGGAGAGCCCTGCACACAAGAGGCACGAACGGACCAAAAGACAGTGCACACACATTCACAGAGTGGGGAACTAGGATGAAAATGCTAAACAAGGGTAGATGTTTAATAGATACTTTGCCCCATTTTGAACATTTATAAACATTTCATTTTTCTGAAAGAGGAGGAAGACTTAAAGTTTGATGGTAATTTCAAACCAGCCACTGAAACACAAATCCTTCACGTTCTGAATTTCACAGGGCAGAATTGTGTTTGCTCAAGGTACCAACAGACCAATGCTTTCTTATGCACGAGCCTTTCCTCTGTTAACTGCCCCTTTCAGATTTCTGCACATTTAATAGCTTTGGGCAGTATGGTGATGTGCATGTGAATAAACATCTTCCTCTCTCTCTCTCTTCTTTCCAATGCATGCAGTGATGTAAAAACGATAGGACTTGGCAAAGTCTTGATGAGGCAGACTGTAAAATCACAGATGTTTCTTCTCCAGAAAATCCACATAGAAAAACTCCTCGGCAGAGCCTAAAGGTTGCTGTGCTCTCCATAGCATAGTAGAGTTTCAGAGCAACCTGAGCTCCCTTGGTTCCTTGGCCAGCGTTGATGGTGGTGCCTGCTGCTGTGCATGAGTGTCAGTCAGGCAGCTTCAAGGAATTCCAGGTGGAAGCAAAGCGGTCTGGAGTGATTAGTTGTTTCCCCCCATCTTTATGCAGACTCATGTGCAAGATGAGTTATACATATGCTAAACAGCAGTGGAATTTGTTGTTTACAAACTCAGGTTAGAGCACAGAGATGAACTTGGAAGCATCATATGCTGACTGTAACAAATTGGATTGTCAAGCAGGTGGGTGCAGGCTGTTAAAAAGTAGTACCCCGCTACCATGTAGGATGCTCCACTAGATTGAAATCACCAGCAGAAAAAGATGTCTAGGAGACTGTATCACTGATGCTTTCTGATAAAGAATGAGATGCAGAGTTGCTAATTAGTCAAAAAGACACAAAAAAACCAACCCTCAAACAGTCCTTAAAATGAGAATTTTCTGTTGTCTTACATATGTGACAGCTGAGACTGTCACAAGATGTGTGAAGGTGGCTACCTGAGAGATGCTAGCCTGCTTTTGCTGGCAACAAACATTTTCTTGGTAGATTTTCTTCAGTCCAGATGCTAACCACAGCTAGCAGTGACATAGTCTGTCTCATCAACTACTTGCTAGGATTTTTGCCTTAAAAGAATGGAATATGGTGATGCAGTTTGATGTGGGGATGAGGTAAGAATCCCCCACTTTCATTTCCAGATTCAGTGCCAGAAAGACTAGTTTCTGATAAAGTTGACTCCTCACTCATACGGGACAAACCGGTTCAGGAGACAGTGCCAAGTGAGAAGAAAGCAATGGAGGAGAAGAGAAGCATTGTCAAGAGCCCTCAGCATTTGGCTGATACCTCTGTTGATGATATTGGCATTCCACTGAGGGTAAGACAACACCTGGGCTAGCTTCTGCCTACCTTGGGGCTCAGGGAATTTACTAAAGCACCAGAGATTGCAGAGATTTAAGGGAAGACTAGTTCCAATGTATTTCATTATGAATGCTTCCCTTTGCTATCAATGACCTGTTTCAGCTGCCTCAGGGGAAAAAATTAAAAATTAATATTTCTTTCCATCATATTTGAGAATACTGTTTTCTGTTCTTCTGTATCATTCACACTTAGCAGCTAAGGGAGAGTTTTGTCTCATTTTAGAAATCTTGTAAGACAGATATTTCTTTTATACAACATGTTTAAGTTCATTCAATATTGAGGGGAAATTGGCTGGGCAATGAGTGGCTTGAGGCCAGCTCTGAAGAGAAGGACTTGGGAGCAGTGGTGGATGAGAAGCTGAACATGAGCCGGCAATGGGCGCTTGCAGCACAGAAGGCCAACTGTATCCTGGGCTGCATCAAGAGAAGCGTGGCCATCAGGTCAAGAGAGGTGATTCTCCCCCTCTACTCTGCTCTTGTGAGGCCCCACCTGGAGTACCGTGTCCAGTTCTGGAGCCCCCAACACAAGAAAGACATGGACCTGTTAGAACAAGTCCAGAGAAGGCCACGAGGATGATGCGAGGGCTGGATCACCTTGCCTATGAGGACAGGCTGAGAGAGTTGGGACTTTTCAGCCTGGAGAAGAGAAGGCTCCGGGGAGATCTTATAGCGGCCTTACAGTACCTGAAGGGGCCTACAAGAAAGCTGGGGAGGGACCTTTTACAAGGGCCCTTAATGATAGAACAAGGGGTATTGGCTTTAAACTGGAAGAGGGCAGGTTTAGATGAGATATTAGGAAGAAATTCTTCACTGTGAGGGTGGTGAGACACTGGAACAGGTTGCCCAGAGAAGCTGTGGATGTCCCCTCCCTGGAAGTGTTCAAGGTCAGGCTGGATGAGGCTTTGAGCAACCTGGTCTAGTGGAAGGTGTCCCTGCTGATGGCAGGGGGGTTGGAACTAGATGATCTTTAAGGTCCTTTCCAACCCAAATCATTTTATGATTCTATGAAATTATAATGAAAAGAATTATTCTTACAACTAGTGTCTGGAGTGACTTGAACACTAAATGTTTCTAACTGTCCACTGAATACTTAGGAAATTGGTTTGTATGACTAAAACAGACAAGGTGTCTTTTTAGGTATCAAATCAGATTAATATGCAAAACCTTCCACACAAGCTACAGTTCTACACAGGTTACAACCTACTCCTGCAAAGCTTGCACATTATTAGCACCTTGAGTGAAGCCTGTAGCTTCTTTACATATGAGATTATATATCTGAATGAAATCAGATTTGAAATCATATTTCAAAGTATGAATTTTTTATGGCCTTGATTTTTAGGTAGTCAGTGATAATAAATGAAATAGGAACCAGAGTATAAACCTTTTTCATTGCTGGAAGATTTGTAAGAAATTTGAAAGGCTAGTAGAATTCATGGTTGTGATTATTTATGTGTATTTTTTTTTTCCAATAGAATACAGACAGGTCGAAGGACTGGTACAAGACGATGTTCAAACAGATCCACAAGCTAAACAGAGGTACTGTAACACAGATGCTTTTTATTTACTTTGAAAGACTACCTTGATAACAGTTTGTTTCAATTATGTGAAGAATTGTACTTGGATGTTAAATAAGTGATTTATGTTAACTAGTGTTTGCTCTGCACCACAGAACTCAACCAATGTGTTTGAAATCTCTGAAGTCAAAGGTGAGAGAACAGTGAAGTCCAAAGAAAGATCTGAGTAGTTCTGAAAGGTGAACTACAGTGCTCTCATGAAATTAAGAGTACTATCTGAGATCAGAAAGCTGCTAATAATTCCTTACTTAGAGAAAATAGATCCCTGAACGCTGGTTTTAGCAGCCAACCTCACCCTCCACACACACTTTTAAAGGATAGTAGGATATCACTGAAAATGTTCTGTGCATAGGAGAGAACTTTTTACACTGTAAAGCTTTAGTACCTGCATCGTAAAGCTTGATTTGCAACTCGCTGAAACCAGTGGAAAGGTTTCCATTGATTTTTTTTTTGTGAGTTTAGAATCTGAACTCTGCTTTTTCAAAACCTCAATTTTTTTCATTTCAAAAGGTAATATTGTGGTGAGCACTTGCAAACTTTGTAGTGGTGTGCTCTCAAGGAATCCCCTCCTATGGGGCACTTCTGTGCCTGGCTGCTGATACGTTCATGTTTGTTCTCTGTGTGAGAAATGGCTGCAGTAGCATTTGCAAGCTGAACCCTCTGAAGAGCCTGACATGCAATTCAGAACTGCGCTTATATAATAAAACATAAAGCATGCAAAACTGGAGCTGTGTTCACCGCTGCAGGTGCTGTCATGATGAGCTTTATGCTTATATAGATGCCGTGTTGTTTTGGACGGAATGAGAAAGAGTTGAATTGTTTCCTAATCCCAGTGCTCCTAACAGAGGTTCTTCAGCTCAGCCAGAGCCCATGCTTCAGAAAGAGGAGAATGAATTCAGAACCCTTGGCTTCCAAGATCTCTTGCAGGGGCCAGACATGCAGGCAGCAATGAGCAAAGAGGCATCTAGATTGTGTCATGCTGGAACATCAGCACGAGAGGGACTGTTCTGCAGCTTATATGGATTCTTGTCTCACCTTTCTTCCCCTTTAAATCTGTCCTCTCTGTTCTTTTTTTGCAAATCATGTTCCTCTCCTTAGACACTCCTGAAGAAAACCCTTATTGCCCTACCTACATATTTCCTGAACTTCCTGAAATCCAGCAAAAAACTGAAGGTACCAGAAGTTTAGTCAGAATATCTGTTGTCTTGTGCTTTGAGTTAACTGTACTATAGCACCCTAACAGTAACTAGATTCAGGGGCTAGATTTTCATTACCCATGTGTTACACTGGCTGGAAATTCAGTTATGCCCAGTATACCTTCTTGTGTGATGCATAAAATAACTAAATCTTTGCTAATCAGTTAACCTTTTTTTTTTTAAAGTATGATGCCATTTGCTCTAGTATTATTAAAGTAGGCAATAAAATCATACGGTCATAGGAAATTGGGGGATGAAGCAGAACCTCCACTTCAGTGTGGATAGTCTCAAAATCCACTGCTTTTCTCTGCTGCAGAAGACAATCCTTATTCTCCTACATACCAGTTTCCTGCGTCTACTCCTAGTCCTATCTCTGAAGGTAATAATAAAGGACCACGTCTATTTTTCTGCACAAATGCTGCCTTATCCATTTATTTTCTTCCTGGAGTTTTTTCTAGTTGCTGAGCATTATGCTGCCTCATAATGATTTGCTGCACTCTAAACATTGCCTTGATTGTATGATGCCTTTTTGGCTTTGCAGTGCTCCTCTGGCTTTGTAACTAGTTTTTAACTAATGCCACAGACTTGGGGCTTGCTTGATTTTATGCGCTTATCAATTGCATTTCGCTGTGTGCGTGCAGTGATTATTTAACATGCTTAGAATGCTGACTTATGTGTAAAGATGTGGTTTAACTGAGATTTCTCCCACTCCCCCTTCGGATCAATAAATTTCTTTAAATATTTACTTCTGGTTTTGAATATTAACACACTATTAGGGCCAAACCCAAAATGCCACTGAAGTCTGTTGGTAAAAAGGCTGCTTGCTTCAGTGGGTTTTGGACCAGTCCCTCAATGTAGTATTTTAAAACAAATATAACTTGGTAACATAGGTTCAGGGCTGGCCTTAGGTGCACTTGAAATATCTAGGCAAGGATAGTGTTTGACAGTCTCATCAGCCCATCTTGCAACTTGAAATAACACTGTCTTTATCTTATTGTCTTAATGTGCTCAGCAGATTCCTTTAAACTTCAGGTACAAACCAGAATTCTTTGCAGTCATGTTTCAGGGATGGTGAAATAGTATCTGTTGCACTGATAAACCTGTAACTGTTTGCATATGCATGAAAACAGTTATTTATGAGAAACACAGGAATCCGCTGCATGCGTTGAACATACACATTCCCTGATGGGGAGATTGTTATTGATGGCGGCCTTATTGGCTTAGTCCTTTGGTATCACTTTAGATACTGTGGTTTAGGAACTTGCCTACTTAGTGTGTGCCTCTAGCCAACCCTGGTGAAACTATTTATTAACCATTTAATTCAATGTTTATTTTAAACATCTGGTGGGTAGTGTGTAAGAAGAAAGCATACAATACGGGTTCTAGCTGAGGTGCTTAAAGAAGACTAGGAGATGTAAGGTGCATTTCACTGTTAAAATGAATGTGGACCAGTGTCACACAGAATCAAAGAGCCTAAATAACTAGTTGATAAAGGAGTTTTACAGATATTCAATTTTTCTGTTTGTAGTGAAGTTTGAAAATCCATTTTACTGTTTGTCTGAACTAATGTAGCTTGCAAAACCAATGATGATATGTTAAGAGTCTGGTTTCTTATAGATGTCCCCTATGGGAAGTGCATATGGAAATAATTTGCTGGTTTAGGTAGTTGAAATTTTATTGGACCAAACACTTGCTCTTTATTTTCAATACATTGGGAAATATTTCTTCCATATCTGTTTGGATTCTTTACTTGATAAGGAATCCAGACTATCTTAGGATGTAGATGGGTTGGACTGCATGTTTCATGTTTAGGAAACATTTAGAAGTGATATACTCAGCTGCAAAGTGTTTATACAGAGATAGATTGAAGCCTCAATTTCATACAATCGGTGTCAGAGTTTTTTGCTTTGGATTGATGCACAGAATCTCCTAGAAACATCAAGATTTGGGCTCCCCTCTAAAATACCTTTAGAGTCTATGAGTATTGAAATGTAGAGATTTTGGCCAATCCTTAAAAAAAAACCCAAAAAACAAACCTGCAGATTCTCTAGGAACTACAGGGGAACAGCCTCTTCTCACTAAAGGAATTGGATTTTGAAACTACAAATTAGTGATACTTTGCTACATTAAGGAGGGTCCCACAGATAAAATGTAGCTCTGAGGGCTGGAAGGTCTTGTTTTAATGCTCATCTCTCTGATTTACTTCTTAATCTTTATCAAGTAATTCCAGATTTTTGTGTTTCATTATTCCCTGCTGTAAAAAGGGAAAAAACCTAGACACTGTTCTTCCTAAGGTACTCGGAGACAAAACTTACCTGTTCTTATTATTGTGGATATTAGAGTATTAGCAATTGGAAAATAGCACTTATCTGCAGTGAATTTTTTTCTTGTATGATTTTCCTGTCTGAATGATGAGCTATAATGAATATTGACATTTCTCTTCAAGTAAGTACATCAGTTTTTCCATTGTTCATCAGTGCTAAATAAGAGAGGTGAATGGCTGTGAAAATAGTTTTAGACATTTGTTCATCTCTGTATTTGTGGGGGCAGAGAGTTTTGTGATCTACCAAGTATTTTGCTATCTGAATAAACCCATCTTTTATGTAGGACTACCAGTCAGTTCTGTCAACAATTCAATGTGATAAAATTAAATAAATAAATATATGTTTTTATGTCATTTAGGTTTTAAATATGGGAATTGGCCTGAAAATTGACCTTCGATATTTTTTAACCTGAAGCACACCAGAGTCAATAACCATCTGTTTGTAACTTAAACCTTCTGATTCATTCACCAGGAGAAGTCAGAAGAGGAGCTAAAAGTTCTTCTTTGAGCCTTCCTGAAAGGCTTCATTAAGGCTTGAGTGCAATTTCAGGTCGGCTGTGTTAGATTGGCTTTCCAGCAGACGAGACTGGCTGTAGCAGCTGATTGATGTGCTCCTTGAGAGAAGAGCTCAAAATTGTTTCAATCTGATTGGCATCACTAAATTCACATAACATTTTTAGTATGTTCTTTTCTTATCTAGCTTATTCTAGCTTAATCTATTTCATTTTTCTGTCTTTATCTCTGTCACTATTAGTGATTTCTTCACAGAACTATTAGTAAAACTTTTGCTCACAGTTCTCTTTGCGGTGATTGCATTGTATTTTCCTGCATTTTGCCTTGGAAGTTCTGTACATGTCTCATGTGTACAAGGTACTATACTCATGTACTATACATGTCTCATGTATACAAGGTTCAGCTTGGGGACCAGGTCAAACCACTCGGCTGCACTGATGTCATTGCTAGCTCTTTTAGAGCTGCTTGAGTATCTCTATTGCATCCTATACACCTGTCTTTCCTATTTCAAAAGTAAGCTTTTCAGAACAAGGACAGTGTCTTGGTACAAGTATACATGTGTTTCTTGTGCCAGGAATGTTGTCTGTGCTTAAAAGATAATCTGAGTCAGTGAACATACTTCAACTTGGTGTGCAAGTTAATACAGGGAAGATGTCCCAGTGATTGTCATATGTGATTGGGAGCACGACTCCTCAGCTCTATTACTGTTTCTAGCACCTAATGAATTATTTTAGGCATATACTCTGGCTCTTAGATCCTCAATTTATCTTTCAGCTTTTGATAAAGTGGATCTAATAACCCTTGCTGTAGAGAAGTTTTGTGATAAAAAGTGATTGTTTCCTCAAGTGCTTTGAGAGCCTGGAGAAAGGTATTCGTGTACATAGTACATTAATGTTTATATCTAATTTGGAATTATTTTTAAATGCAATTTAAACCTCATTGGGATTTTCTTTTTTAGGATCCTCTCCCTGTGGTAAGTATTGGGCAGATTACTCAAAAACTACTACCAACATATTGGTAGAAGAAATTAAAGGAGTCTTTGGTGCTTCTTCTTTGGGGCTTTTTCAGCTCATTTGCAAAAATGCTTTTGTCTTTCAGATGAAGATTCTGATTCATACTCTCCTCGTTATTCCTATTCTGAGAACAGTAAGTAATTTACATTTCTTGTGTTATCTGTTAAGCAGAAAGGGCATGTAAAGCATGTATTTATTTGCCTCCTATCCAGTTCACCAATATTCTTATATTTTACTCTTCCTGCAGGCAGAACCCAGCTTTCAGTTCCCCGCTCCAAGAGCGAGATGGACAATATTGATTCAGAGAAGGTTGTCAAGAGGTCTGCCACTTTGCCACTGCCAAACCGTACTTCATCACTGAAATCAAGCCCAGAAAGGTGACCTGAACTAAAATATCTTTGGATCAGTACTGGAAGAATCCCTGAAAGCTGTGAATGGGAAGGGACCAAAGGTGGAAACTTTAGGTCCACACAACTCCAGTTAAACTCTTCTGGGGAACTGGAGATGTAGTTTTGACTCTGACTCTTCTACTAGGCAGCAGTGAACTCTGTTGTCACAGCCCAGTCCCCCATTTTGTCTGCCTTTTTTTACCAGGTATCACAGTCTGTTGCATAGTTTCCTGCTTGGGTGAGGAATGTTTCCCTGGGCGTCAGGCCTGTACAGTGTCTACTGCAGAGACACAGTGGAAACTCTTGGCTCAGTGTAACACTGTAAAGGCACCTCAGAATACAAACAAGTAGCAATAATTGTGGAGAATCAAAATTTGGATATATTTTGAGCTTCAGTGACAGTTTTACTATTTTGTCCATCTCTGAGGAGTCCCACCCATATTAACTTTATTGGAAGTAGGTTCTAGTTAGCTCTGTCATTTCTGACCTTTGAAGATTATTTCCCTCCTGGTTTTTTGCTTTATTTATTACCATGTATTTTAAACCTTTTTGTAACAGTAATGAATGTGTTTACCAAATGAAGGGAAAGCAGACTGAGCAATGAATATTTTATGTCCTGCTGAATTCTTACAGCTCTTGAACTGCTTCTCCCTCACTAACTTTCATATGCTCTTATGTTTTTCACTTGCTGCCTCAAATGAGCAATTCCATAATTTGAAATTGCTAATTCAGTGAGCATCTCAGGCCACTAGATCAGGAGACAAAGGTTGCTGATAGAACATGTCTTCCTTACGCAGGAACTGAAGGCATAGTACATTGGCCCTCTGAGAAAACTCTTGTGAGTGAAAGGATTACAATAATTATTGCTTCCTATTATCTACTGACAAAACAATCTTTCAGCAGGGAGAGGTTTCTCTGGGGCTGGAATCTTAAACAATCAGGTTTATTCTAGTCAGTAAAGATCAACCTTGTTGAAATTTGTACACTGTTTGTAGGCTAGTTGTTTTGGCTATCATCTTGCCTTACTTAATAAATAAATAAAAATAATTAAAAATTAATATGGTTCTCTCTGTCTCTCCTAAGCCAATGGAGAGAGTTTAGGCAACTCAGTGCATTGTTCGTATCCAAAATGAGGTCAGTAGGGTAAGTGGAAGGAAACCTGGAGCAGCAGTTAGATGCCTCACATTTGGTGACTGGTAGGTGAGGTGAATCCACATACAACATTGATGTTCCCATCAAAGGGAACATAGCAAGATCAGACTTAGTTTACCAGCTTCAATGGTCTGATTTCTGGGTTTTTTCAGAGGCATTGGTTATTCTGCACTATGTGCCTGAATGTATTACTTTTCAGAGAAGTTAAATATTGTAGACCCTGAATGCTTTGTGACTAATACTGTCTGAACTGTGCCAGTGTGGACACTGCACAAAATTATAGTAATTTGGATAGTCAATGAACTGTTCTTTAGATCTCTTTAGTCTGAGATCATTGGCTCATGTCTCTAGAAAAGACATCCTCTTTGACCCCAAAGTGTCCCCAGAATCCAGAGCAGTAGTAGTCAGGTAATCAGTGGAGTGGCCAACAAGAAGTAGTTTAGCAATATAGATTTAATCTGAGTTCTACTTAAAGTTTGGACATGTTAATATTTGTGAGCTTAGTTGAAGCCCATCACTAAGCTATTTCCAATCAAGAAAGATATGGAACTCGGGAAGTTTATTGAAAGTACTTGGAAGAAACCTCCTCTGCTCCAGTGGTTTCAGCAGCTGAGCTGTCAAACTCTACCTGCTATAGATAAATATATGCCCAGAGCCCTACCTGAACTGTTCCTCTTGCAGCAGCCTCCTTTCCTAGATTTAAAAAAAGTACCCTGATTAAACCAGGATTAACAGGGAAAGGCGTCTGTCAAAAGGAAGTGCTTGTCTCCCTGGAAACCACAGTGTTTTGGGTTGATTGATCTTTCTTCCCTCAGGACTGACTGGGAGCCTCCAGATAAGAAGGTGGACACCAGAAAATACCGTGCAGAGCCCAGGAGCATTTATGACTATCAGCCAGGAAAGTCCTCAGTTCTGAACAATGAAAAGATGGTAATGTTTGTTTTATCCTAGTTTGTGGCTTTATCCTGTGACTGTAAAATACTCCTTAAGTGCTTGTCCGGTTCCATTCTGATAGGATTCCTTACGCTTACATTGCAGTGCTTATGTGATATATTTCTTGTATATTTTGCTTTGAAAACCGTTTTGTATAACTTCCTAACGTTTTTGTTCTCTATAAATCGAGATCCAAGGAGACCAAGAGGTTTCTTTCCCTTTGGATGTGTTGTTTTCTGTGTTAAGTATGGATCACTAACCCTAGTTTTTAATCCATGTTTGACACTGTGACCTGTTCAGCAGCTGTTTTGCCAGCTGTACTTTTTCTAGGGTACAGCATTAGTTGATGCAGGAGAGTTGAAAGCATTACGCAACAAAGCAGGCTGCTTCAGTTTCTGTGCTCCTCTGATGCCTTAAACACTGGAAGACTAATTTTTGGAGTGCCTGTAATGTGCCTCGGGATGCCTCTGAGATGTGTTAGGACATGGTAATCTCCCCTGGGTTACTTTCTTCCTCAGCTGGATCTCACCAGTTCTGTGGCAGGGGTGGCAGAACTGAATGTGAGATGGCTCCCCAAACACTGGTGTGTAAACTGGAGTATTAAGTGAGCTGTTAGCAATTTCAGTTTGAATTAGTAAGTAATGCTGTGAATTGAGACAGCTAGGGGACATACAGAAGTCTCATCTTGCAGGCTTGGTTGAGAAAGACTTGTCAAGAGGCAGGGCAGAGAGGTGGTCAGCTGGTCCTGCATAAATTGCCACAGGGCCACTTAAGGTGTCCTTCAGTGGTACAATTGTGACACTGTAAGTGCTAGAAAATACCCAACAAGGTTACTAGTGAATAATCAGTTTGGTACATAAAGAAGTAATTGTTCTATATAGGTATTAATTTGAAGGATTCAAAAAGAAGTACTAATTGCATGCAAGATTCCAGGTGTGAACTGGACTTTGTGCCTTAACAGCTCAGGCACTGATGCATGAATGGAGAAGGTAAAGGAACGCTCTGAATAACCTGCCCAGGATTTTACCCAAGGGTGAACAGCAATTTACATCAATAGATATGTAAGGATCAAATCTGATCGGGGATCTGGTGTTTCTCCTTTGTACTTTGGTGGACTTTCTTTTTTCCTTTCAAGTGCAATCAAAGTCCATCACTTTTTGGAGATCCTGCAACCAAGTTCTTTTCACCTCCATATTCACTTCATTGACTTCAACAAAATTGCTCCTTATATTGGACCATGATCCTGATGCCTATTGAAATGGGTGATGGATGACTCTCTATTGATCCTGCTGGGCATTGTCTCACCCCATTAGAGAAGTGCCAGTGAGGAGTAGTTTGAACATGGCAAGGCAACTCCATTCCTGCAGTCCACCATGAAGCAAGATTTCTGCTATGGAGCATAATTGAAAAAAAATTGTACAGAGCTCATCAAAACAAGAAGTATGTGATAGCTGTGTTACTTCTAATGTTATTTTTTGAACTTTAATATCAAGACATAGATCAGAGAAGAAAGAAGGTCTTGAAATAGTGGCTTCATGGTCTCAAGCAGTCTCATTAAATACAACAATAATACAGCGGTTAGTGACTAGATCTTTCAAGGAGGCTGCAGGAGATTAGTGGGTATCTCCTGGTAATCATACCCAGAGCTGTGACTATCAAAATCCCAATCCAAAGCTATTTCAGAGCGATGAAGAGCTCCCATTGACGTCAGTGGGCTTTTTGTTCTACTTAAAGGCAGTTGTGTAACAAATGAGTACTTTTAGTAGGAGTGCAATGAAGAAAAAAAACTAAGGCGTTGCTTCTGTTTTGCCTTTAAGAGATAGTCAAATCTTCCTTCAGGCCGTCAGAGATCAAACATGATGTAACCATTTATCTTTCAGATTGAAGTACTTCCCCTCTTTCAGCATCAATCCTGAGCTCTTAGGGTTTTCATTTTTTGTGAAGCCTAATGACTTTGTCAGAGTCTGGACATCTAGCAAAGCCCTGCACTGTTGGGAACTGCCCCCTGCCTCAGTAACTCCTTCACAGGACTCTTTGCATCAGGACACTTTGTGTTGGCCTTCTGTACTGTACATGTGTGGCTCATCACTTGTGATGGAGCACTTGGGATCATGCTGGCATACCAGACATAATGTATTTATATTTTTAATGCACTGAGATCTGTTATGTCTAAGGCTAGGTAAACTGAAATGCAAGAATTAACTAAATGTTTTTTGGGGTGTGGCATCTCATAACCCTTAGCAATGGACGACTTTATTCTCTTACTTCACCTGTAGTGTTGCTAAACAGCTACAACTGTTTCAACTTTATTTCATTTAAACAAAATGTATGAACAAAAGGGAATTTTCTTTTTAACTGTACTGTTTTCTGTCCTGTCTCATTTTCCCTCGTAGTAGTTTTGTCTGATTCTCTAACATGTATTTGTGAAGAAACAAGTAATATTGTCTCTCTCTCCATCCCTTCAGAGGTCTTTCAGGAATGCACTCTGACTTGTCTCCTTTGATTTAGAAAACCACCTTTCACTCTGTTTGCAGTGTATAGAACAGGGTTTCTCACATATTCATGTGCTGTTAAAGATGCAGTATTTGATTCAGATCTCACTGAATATCTCTTTTTTAACCAAATGATGATTTAAAAAATTTTTAAAGTACATGCAGCTTTGGACTCGGGGAAGCGTCTGACAGTAGGAATGAACCACTAGTTGACTCCCAGCTCTTCCATTGAGTCTCCCTGTGACTGTGGGCAAGCTGCATAATCTCTGTCTGTGTGGACCTCTGATCTGTAAAATGGAATTCATTCATTTTCGTGTTGCTCACAATGATGCCATTAGGCTTAACTGATGTTTGCAAAGCAGTTCGTGGCATTTGTGAGAGAGGTGCTATAGAAATTACAAATTATAAGACTAAACATCTACACTTCAGAATGGAAATCATGGGATCTGCATCTCTAACAGTCCCTTTCCATGTATTCTTTGCATAATGTTATCCTTCTCTTTCTTCCATTCCCCTATCACCAACTCCTTTAGACTCGGGATATAAGCCCAGAAGAGATAGATTTAAAGAATGAACCTTGGTATAAATTCTTTTCGGAATTGGAGTTTGGGAAACCGGTAAGTTTGATAGTTGCAATGACCAATGAAGTCAGCCTGCCTTTTTTTTTTTCTTTTTTTTTTTTTCTTTTTTTTAACATCCCCCCTGTTCCCCCAAATGATTGTCACTTCTCTTTGCTTGACCCTGAACCTGGAACAACTGCCTTACTCATTTAAAAACATGATGATTCATAACATCATCCTGGTACTGATGTAGAGCAGCTGTTCTGTGACCACTTAAATATTTTGAAGCCGTTTACAAACATTCCCCACCTTCCAGCCATATGTATCAACAAGGCAATATTTTTTTCACACACCATAGTTCAAACTGCATTTTTGCTGTTAATGTCAGAAGTAATGCCCTGTTCTCATTATTGAAACTCCTTATTCAAAGCCCTTATTCTCCATCTGCCTAACAAGGTCCAGGATGGCTGATAGGTAGCTTTAAGTCAAGGAGAATCACTCATTTGTTCCTGGCCTTGGCTTGTAAACTGTAGGTCAGTAATTTCCAGCTATCCATAAACAGATCATGACCCTGTTTCCTGCTCATTTCCTTATGCATGTAGCTGCCCATTGCCTAAATAGGGTGCGTCAGTCTGTGTTCAACAGCTCTTGCCATTGCCTGAAACCAAAGGAGTCTGAAAACAGTGTGTTTTCTTTTCAAATGGAGCTGTGTTGCTATGTGTACGAGGAGGGGGGAGAAAGAAAAAAAGCCTTGATTTCCCAATCTGCAAAAAAGATGAAACAAAGGTTAATTATTCAGTAGGAGAAAGGACATTTTGATGAAGGAAACACATCGGTGGTCATGGCTACTGGAAAAAAAATGTGACTTTAAAGCACTTTGTGGCCTGGTTCTTACTGATTAAACACTATTCACTTAATTATCAAATACTGTTTAGTAAGCTACTCTTACTGCACCAGAGGGTCAGTATTCAAGCATAGTGGTTGTTTCTCCTTCCTCCTTGAGGTAATTTGTCAAATGTCCATGCACACCATTTTTGAATGCTGCTGAGATTTCCCTGCATGTACAAAAAAACAGAAATAAGTTTTAAGGTTCAGTACTGTCTTCAAAGGCATGTCAACACCAGAGAGCAGGTTTTCTTTAAATCTAGTCTTTGTTCTCACAGAAGTGACAAAATTTTTCTGCACGGAATTAAGCTGCCTGAGGTGGGGTGGCCCATCTGATCACATCACAGAAATAGTGTATTTTCTGATGAAAAACAAACATGTACAGTGGTTGGGTAGTCCATTCTGTCATAGAAAATTATGTTTTATAGCTTCCATCCTAAGCTAAAGAAGGAGCATCAACAAAGAGGAGCATCTCAACAGCTGTTGAGATGAGACCCTCTAACTTTTAGGCAGTAGAAGTTAGGTAAATCCCACCTCACTGAGGCTCTTAAGTGATGTCAATATAAGGATTAACCTTTCACAAGTTGTAACAGTTTAAGATCTCCACAAGTGAGAAGAAATCTGCTTCTCTTTGCTGCCGTATAATTAATAGCCATATGCTCTTTTAATGAATGGAAGTTTGTCATCTCTATGATCCTTTGGGTGAGTGTAAATGGATAAAAAATGTGCCAGAGAAGTGAGGGTATATCTGTTCCTTAGAAGTATGCATTTGTGCTTTTAGTTATGCAGCCTTGGCCAAACTTCAGGAGAGGGCATCTCGGGCCACACAGCAACCCATCTCTTGTTCAGCAGAGCATCTGTTCTGGTGACAAGTTCCCCACCTTGCTTAGGGCATGGTTGCTAAAGGCTGCTTTCTTACAGCTTGCCTTGAAATTATATCCTACGTGAAATCCAAAGCTATGCAACCGGGCTCCCTGATCAACTGTGCAGCTCCTGAATGCACTACTCTGTACATAGTGCTTCAGCATCAGGCACTTGAATTGAGGATGCCATCTCAGACACGTGTTGCTAGCAAAGCTCCCTCTGAGTTTCATTACCACAGCCAAAAGAGCATGCTTTTTGTAGCTTTGCTCTCTCCGGACATGAGAGTACCAGATTTCTGTGATCAGCTAGTGGCTAAGCCTCATGCCTAACCAGAGAGTTTCAACTGCCATTTGCTAGCACCTGGGATTTTCAAAGATTCTCTGTTTGTCACAGTTTTTTTTTTCTGGTGCTGGAGATAATGTGTACTTCTATAGGCATGATTTCCCCTGGCTTTCTGACTTTATTTGCAGCTATATGATGTGGGCAGGAAACAGCCTTGGTAAAAGCAAGCGCAGGATTCTTGTGAGCCTGAGAGTGTTGCTCTCCAAAGACACCAGAATGACCAAGATGGGGCTTTCCCCATTGAGGAAAGCACATGTGCTCCCTGGAGCAGCTGAAGCAACACTGCACTGGACCAGCATCCCAGATGCATTTCTGGGCAGCTCTGTGGATAGGCACGTGTCCTGCAGACAGGTAGATCAGTCTCTGCAGCATGGACGCTTTTTCAGTGTGCTGCTGAGATTGAATCCCCACATACTCCTTCCTTCCTTCCGCCTGACTTGTGGCTCTGGCAGCTCCATGGAGCCCATCCACAAAGCCTGACATTGGTTTTGTGGCAACCTAGAGCTCAGTTGTCTTCTGCTGTGATCACACACATGGACACTTTCTCCCAGCCCTTCCTGAGACAGCACTGAGTATGCTCTTTGGTATAAATGGAGAAGTAGGGAGCTGGAAAAAGGGATGCATGTCCTGTCTTCTTACCTCCTTCCCTCCAGTTCCTCCCTCCTAATCTCAAACCTAAATCTTTGTAGCACCATCTACCCACATGCAGCTGCTGATTTGATGGACAAGAAATAGGTATTTAGTGTTTGCATCCACACAGAGGCTGTCCAAATGTAAAGTGGGACAGATTCAAACTATGATCCAGACAGTCTAGGAAGGAATTTGGACCAAGACCCAAGTGCTGTAGTTCAGTCTCACCTTTGATAGACCGACACTGCAAGATTCCGTGTTAGTGACTTGGGGGCACTTTAATGATCTAGACACAGAAGTCAGTATGGACACGTGAGACATTGCCAGCCAACAGAGGTTATGTTTGTTTGGAAACAGAGCAAATATATTCTGATTTCACAATGTAGGAACAAAGTCTCTGCACAGTGAGAGGTACATATCTGGTGAAACAAGGATATTAGCGTGGTGTTATTTGGATAGGAGTGTCAGGACAAAGTTCTTTCACTTTGAATAATCCTCCCTGATGTTTACATGAGCATCTAATCAGGAAAATCCTATTTTGAAATCAGTGCCTTCACCTATAGGATAAATTTTAAATAACTAGTTCCCCAAATTCCATGTGTCCCACTCTCTCTACCAAAAACCCCCACAAACAAACTCCTCAAACCAGTGAAATAAAAAATAACAACTCTGCATTCTCATTGCCCCACAATGCCACCACTGGAAATTCAGCCATTTGTTCACATGGTATGTATTCACAGTCTGGCGGGGCTGGGGAAGATTCTGCCTTTGTCAGAGGCCCTTGATTTACCCTTTCCTTTTGAAAAGAAGAATGAGCAAAACAAATGCTTTTTATGACTGTGTGTTTCTTTCCCCGTTTTGTTTTGGTTTTATGTTAAGAATGCTTTAACCACCAGCTGTGGACTCACTCTAGAGTCCAAAATCCCTTAGACCACCATGTAAAAATAAAAATTTCCTCAAACATTACTGAAAACACCCCCTCCCAGACTGCATGTGTGCTCCCTTTTGCCTCCCATGATCTCTTGATATTTGTGCTATAGCGGATTTATCCCTCTTTCTAGCTCTCTTTCTCTGTTGTGGTTTGTTTGTTGTTGTTTTTTTTTTAAATTTATTTTCAGTGTTGATGCAAAGTCCCTATTGTATTCCCGCTCTGTTCTAATCCAGTTTCCATATTCTCTGTGATGTCTTTCCTTATCTTCATTTCCTCATTTCCTTCCTCTGCTTTCCATCAGCCTCCAAAAAAGATTTGGGATTATACTCCTGGAGATTGCTCTATCCTTACTAGAGAGGATAGAAAGGTAATTGTGTCTCACATACATTATACTACAGCATCTAGCGTATATATATATATGTGTGTATGTAATTTTATTTTTTCTTTTTTTTTTAAATAGCTTTGCTTGAGTTTTGTGTGCTTGTGAGTGATTATTTTTTTTTTTAATTGGGCTTGAGCTCATTAGCCTAACAATTAAGTAGCTAGTAAATTGATTTAATAAATAATTTTTAAAGCATAATCAGCCATAATTCAGAGTGGTGGTTTTGCTATCTTGACTTGCAATGATAATTCTACTAACAGTATATTGCATATTGTTATTGTTACAGTATCTGTTGTTTTTTGGTTTGGGGGGTTTTTTTTACAGGTGGGTTTTATAACTTTATGGTTTGTAGAATTAGATTCCAGCAGGCCTGTGCATCTCTTAATTTTGAATGTTAAATGCCTAAAACTATTTCCTCTGTAATGATTGAAACATGATTAATTACTAGTGAATTTCTGTGTATTGTCCATACCATCTTTGTCTTTTTTCAATTAAAAAGGCTCGCTTTTTCTTTTTTTTTTTTTTTCAAAATTAACATTCCTTTGGTTTCCCCTAACCCTAAGCATTATTTTCCCATTCTTCTTCTCCTTCTTTAACCAGACTGATCTAGAAAAAGACCTCTACCTCTACCAGACTGAGTTAGAGGCAGATTTAGAAAAAATGGAGAAGCTTTATAAAGCGCCACATAAAAAGCCACAGAAGGTATTTCCTATTCTTTTCATGCTGCCAATCCCTGTTTCCAAACTCTCTGCTCTAATCTATTCACTGCTGGATGATTATTAAATGAGGTTGGGATACATAATGGTTCTGACTGTTCTGATTGCATGGCTTGCTGTGTCGCTGTCAGAAATAATAGAACGTGATGCTGAGAATCCGGCTTGAAATCCATTTCAGATACAGTGATTTCCTCTCTCCCCCATTCCCTTTCAGCTGCCCCCCACCCCTGCACCCCTTCAGGGTTTTGAGTTCAGTGTCTGCAAAAAAACCTTATCTATTTTTCACATGAATAGGCAGCAGCAATCAGCTTAAAATTCTTGGTTGGCGTCACGTCATCATCTCGTGCCTTTCAAGCGTGTTGCCATCTACCCTCCCTTCGTACAAGCCCTGCTCTCTGCTAGGAGCTCACGCCTACACAAGATTTGGATATTCCCGAGAGATTTTACACAATTTCCTTATGCTGTACCTTGCCATGGCCTTCTAGGGCAGGTCAGCTGCTGCTGCTGTTTCGAGGACCCGAACTATGAAATGATAGATTCACTTGATGACACGCCATTTTTTTCTATTTTTTTAATGTTGATGATTTTTTTTTTATTTTATTTTTTTTTGGAGCTGCGGCATTTCACCAGGATTTGAAAAAGCTTTTTTTTTTTAAAAAAAAAAAATCCAAGATTTGCTTTTTCTTCCTACATAGGAATCCTCAGAGAGATCAGGGAACACCAAACAGAACATTTCTTCTAAAATGGCCTTTAATTTTTAAAACAATGTGCCTAGGAAGTGTTAGATGGATTTAAAGCAAGCGGATAAGAACTGGCTTTTGCTATTGAACCTGTGCAGCTGGCATTGCTTCTCTTAAGTAAGGAAACTGAACTGAAACATTGCGTTTCTTGTTAGTGCTTTGATATTTCTTTGAACGCTGAGGAATGTATTGTGCTGCAGAAATGTAATACACCTTTAAAGCAAAGGCGGGCAGTGACTGGTTCAGGGTGGGGGAAAAGCTTGGGGAAATAATTATGAGCATGTTTCTCCTGGTCATGGCCCAGCTGGTTATCTCTTCTTGCTTTTGGCTTTATTCACAATGACTCATTTGCGGACAAAAGAATAGGCTCTGCGAAAAGGCATCAGCTGCGCTAAAAACCTGTCACTGCCCTGAAGGAACTCAGGAAAATTGTTGCTTTTCTGCAAAGACATTGACAGCTTAAACTGCATTTAGACTTAAACCTCAATGTCTCCTGAAGGCTAACATTCAAGCAATAGATGGAAGATTACTTAAGCAAGCCCCCCTTTTTTTTTTTTTTTTTTTTTTTCCTCATCATGTGTAAGTGTGTATCAATGACTCCTTTGTTTGGACTTTTGCAGAATACAGCAGGTGTTACTCCTCTGGAAACTTCTGCAGACCATTCTTCCTAGTAAGTTTTCCAATTGTTTTTTGATGTCTCTCTTAAAATCTGAGGGCATGTAAGACAGGATTTAGGGCATTGGAAATGGGTTTGCTTTATTTTTTTGGTGATTAATATAGACAAATGCACGTACCATAGGAATTATATATGTGTTTTAGATGAGTTCAGGTACAGTATCTACTCTTTGATCTTGAATGAATTTTTAAGTGAGTGATTACATTGTCTGGATAAGAATTGCTGATTGTGCTAGGCAGTGACTTTAAAAAACAACAGACCTTTAACTCCATCTTGTTGAAGTTTGCAAATTGACTGTAACTTCATGCAAGTAACTTTATTGTGTGGAATAAACAAAGTTTGTTTCTGTTAGATATATATGATAGACTGCCTCCTGTTAGATATTCCCAGTTATGCGCACCAGATCAAAAGGATGCTGTTGATGGAAGGCAATAATTTTCCAGTTGCCAGGAAGGGAAGCATGGTAGCAGGAA